TTGGAAATTCTTACATAAAACCTTAAGTGTGGACTTGTGGTTTCCGCCTCTATACCCAGTAGGGAGCGTTGCAATCTTTCATTCACAGTAGACATCGTCTGCAAGTCTATCTTTACGTACTTAACCCTTGTAGAGCTTTATTAACCAAAGACGTTTGGTGCTAGGAGCTGTCGTCTAACACATCATTTTGATCAGGTTAAAGATTTATTGTAAACATTGCGATAATACGTATAATGTCTTTTTACATCATTGTGATAAAAAAAATGTGTGTTCTAAGCTTTATGTGTACAGTTGGAACAGCTAGATTAGAAATATGTCGACTTGATAATCAGCTGATTAAAGAGAAATATGGAAGATTAAATAAAATGTCGTTCAACCACCAATCGTCAGTGTGCCTCATTCTCTCGAGCAAGTTTTGAAACGCATGTCCAAGATATAACAATAATGAAACGAACCTACTTAAAATGATGTTACAAAAACCCACCCCTTACTTGAATAAAAAATACGGACCACTATATGTTAAAAGTATTAATTAAATTAATACCAACATAGTCATACATCATATAGTTAATTCCAGTGATGAGAACGTCGCTAGAAGTTGCTTTAGTTTATAAATCAGTAGACTCTCTTTGATACGGTGGCTTTGTTCATCATTAGTCCTAGCGAAGACCTAAAACAATTTTTGAAGTTTTAATTTACTTTCTGATTTATTTTAACATCAGGGTGTGTCATTTTTCTTTTCTTTAGTCTATTATGGAAATATAAAAATGTTGTACTGCATTCATTGGGGTTATTTTCGACATTCAATTTTTTCAGTGTTTTGTTTCTAATTGGCTTTATTGTTTTTTGTTTCTTTTATTTCATTAGAACCGGAAGCGAAAACTTTGAAGACCTTGTCTCTAAATTCCACGACATAATTATTATTATTTTTATTTTTTGTAGGTTGATTAATTCAACAATGTTTGGATGGCTGTAATATAATATTTGGGTAATTCAACAATGTTTGGATGGCTATAATATAATATTTGGGTAATTCAACAATGTTTGGATGGCTGTAATATAATATTTGAGTAATTCAACAATGTTTGGATGGCTGTAATATAATATTTGGGTAATTCAACAATGTTTGGATGGCTATAATATAATATTTGGGTAATTCAACAATGTTTGGATGGCTGTAATATAATATTTGGGTAATTCAACAATGTTTGGATGGCTATAATATAATATTTGGGTAATTCAACAATGTTTGGATGACTATAATATAATATTTTTATCAATTTTGATTTTTTTATAGCTATATGGTTGATGGTTTACTTGACAGTAAAATTTATATTACTTTTAAGATTTCTTCGTAATAACTCAATTTCTGAAGTTTATAAATACAGATATGGTGAATTAATTTATTTTATCGTTTTGAGTTTAATTACTGATTGAGTGTTATTTTATTACAAGCTACAACTTTTACAGTAAGGAAGATTATATTTTTAGAACAAGAACGAAGTTTCGATCACTGGTGCGATCATTCTCAAGTACACACGTTTTAACAGTAATGAAGGTTTTAGTATTTAAATCAACATTCAACAATTTAACACTGTTAATTTTAAGGTTTCTATCCCATTATTTTGAGGTAGTACCTTAATACTTAGAAAGATTTTAATTTTGAAATAAGACAAACAATCAATTGTTTAAATCACTAAATATACAAATGAGATTTCTAAATCGCTTGAAAATTAAATACTTTTCTCAGATTTTATATATTTGAAATAAAATTTTAAGAAAAATTTAAAATAGACAATTGGATAAATGGAATAATTCAATAGAAAGTTGTATGATCAGGTTGATGGTGTTCAAGAATCTTGAACACCATCAACCTGATCATATAACTTGCTATTCAATAGCTAATCTTGAACACCATCAACCTGATCATACAACTTCCTATTCAATAGCTAATTCATCCACAGAGGATTCCTGGATGACTCCCTGATGGTCTAATGTTCCAATACGGTCCTTAATTAGTAATATTATCTTACTTCAAGTGTAATAGATATCGTTCTAATTTGGCCTTTCTATTATCTGTAGGATCATATTTTTACTCCACAAACTTAGTAGAATCACTTCAAGTTTCTTCAGCGTTTCTTAAGTATTCATGTTTTATCCAAAATGACAATACTGTTTCTTTCACCCGATTTAGAAATAACAATTTAATCCTTTTCACTAAGACTTTTTTAAAGCTTCAAATTCTTCTCAACTTAATAATTTCAATTCTAACATTACTTAAAGGACTGACCAGATTGACTCGAAATACACTGACGTGACAGTGCTTGATGGTGTAAAAAAAACCTTCCCATTCAATAGCTAATCTTGAACAGCATCAATCTGATCATACAACTTCCTATTCAATAGTTCAAAAGTTCACCAAGAAAGATGCCCCTTATGACCTATAGTATCAAACATTGGAACATACAATCATGCTTTGGTTAGATTTTTAATAGACTTTATAATGAATACAACTTCAACAACTGAAGTTTTTTCTGCTAGTATTGCCATGAAACCACTATATACGAGCATACCATTGGAAGAGACAATACAGCTGTGTGCCGATTTGATCATCAACACTCTTAAAGATAATTTTGTTGGAAGTTAATCAATTCTGCTGTTAAAGAGCCTCATTTCATTTTGAATAGGAAGTTGTATGATCAGGTTGATGGTGTTCACGATTAGCTCCTGGATAGGAAGTTGTATGATCAGGTTGATGGTGTTCAAGATTAGCTCCTGAATAGAAAGTTGTATGATCAGGTTGATGGTATTCAAGATTAACTATTGAATAGGAAGTTGTGTGATCAGGTTGATGTGTTCAAGATTAGCTATTGAATGGGAAGTTGTATTATCAGGTTGATGGTGTTCAAGATTAGCTATTGAATGGGAAGTTGTATGATCAGGTTGATGGTGTTCAGGATTAGCTATTGAATGGGAAGTTGTATGATCAGGTTGATAGTGTTCAAGATTAGCTATTGAATAGGAAGTTGTATGATCAGGTTGTTGGTGTTCAAGATTAGCTATTGAATAGGAAGTTGTATTATCAGGTTGATGGTGTTCAAGATTAGCTCCTAGATAGGAAGTTGTATGATCAGGTTGATGGTGTTCAAGACTAGCTATTGAATATGAAGTTGTATGATCA